AAATATTTTTCAGGAGAAAAGTAATGGTTGCACGACGACTGTACACTTATCGTCGTAGGGGACCTCAGTAGGAAGAAATGTTACATTTGTTTTTATGTTTTAAGTCTAAAGTTTGAGTTTGTATCTGGGTATGAACAATAAGTGGAGTTTATGTAATGAATGTTTAAAGTTTAGTAGTTATGTGAGACAGTTAATAGTTTGAAACTTTTATTTCATTTCGGGTGTATTTTAGTGGCTCTTTCAATTAATATTTGGATGATGTTTAAAGCATTAATATAAATGGTTTATGTTTATTTATGTTTTTCCGTACGACCTTTTTGCTCCCTTCCCGTTAACTCCGGCTAGCCGGGTCGGGTCGTTACAGTTAAAAATTTAGAACATTAAAACATAAATACAAATTTGAACTACTTAAGAAATCACATAACATCTCATTTGACATTACCTTTAACTGTCCTCTTAGATTCATATTGAATATCATTTTTTTTTCATTAAAAGGTTTGACTATTCTTTCATAAACAAATTCAATGGAGCTTAGGGAAACTTAACATTATCACAATTGAATTTCATAGAGGTCCCATTTGCCTCTTTATGAGTCCCTTTTATCCCCACCTGTTATGCAAGTATCATTTCTTTTGGGGTCCCTTTTTCCCCATTTACAAGGTAGTTATATATTTGGGAACCCTTTTGTCCCAACTATCCTCATACATCATATATATATAGCCAAAATTTATGTTAAATTAATGTTCAATTCACTTTTATAACATAACTCATATTTATATTGTTGCTTTCATAAAGATCTTTATATGCTATTTATCTATGTAATGAAACTGTGTACCATATATTAAGAATGAAGATTATTTCCAAAATATTTCCAACCAGTAAAATTTTTAATGAAACATAACAACTCTTATTTAAAAGTCTCATGATTCAAATATATAAGAGGTCTTTTATATATGAAAACTAGGTTAGAAACATCCTTTTGCCAGAGAATTACTTGTAATGCATATTTCTCTCACATTCATTCAACTATCAATATATAATGTAAAATTAACAAGAATTACATTTAAAACTTTAATTTGCATTACTTATCTTCTTGACGGGTTATTTCTTCCAAGCCTTCACTTTTTATTCTTCTTCTATTATAAATCACTTCAAAGCCTCCTCTTTGCATAAGATTATATAATCTATATGACCCAAAATTATGATTTATGTAAGAACTTTAATGAATTGAAATAGTATAAAAGATAAAAAGAGAATATTAGAATTCTTACATTTCTTTCAAATCTTCTTAGCTTCTACTACTTCTCTCATTCCCTTTTGATTCTTCCTCCTCAAAATCCTTCCAAAGTTTACTGTTCACTTCTTGATTCTTTCACCACCGAAATCTTTGCAATGCTCCAACCTGATCCTCCCTTCAGTGAAATGTTCCGAATTTCCCAAATTTTCCACTGTGTCGCTACTTGCTATATGGAATTCTGCAAATTCCCTCACAATTCAGCGATTTCTTCTGCATTCCGGGAAGAGCATTAGCCGAAATTTGCTACAGTCCCGTGACCTGCACCGAACTCCCCTTCTCTGGCTTGCGTGAAACTGCTATTGTCTTTCTTTGCCTTATTTCTTTGCTTCTCCCGTTAACACAAGCAGAAAAGAAAAATATATGCCCACTCAAAATAACTGCCTATTGTTCTTATCCGAACCTTCACACTTCACAGCCACATGGGAATTACAATAGCCTTGTCTAATGCCTTTTCATTAATAACAGAGAATTTATTTAAATAAAATTACGAAGGCATGTATAACTAAAAGTTCATTTTAATAAAAATGAAGGGACTATAACTGCTCTCTTTCCTTTAATAATCCAAAGGCAGCATCTTTTCAAAATTTCAAATATTCTATTTAATATTTTTAATTGCACATTGAGAATTTTTTTTTAAAAATTAAACTTATTGTAAAAGAGATACCTGATTTTCTGATTATTACATATGATATGTAATTTTAGTGAGTGTAATGCTATTAATTACCAATTAATATAATTAGAAAATAAAGTGATACTTAGGTGCTATGTATTTCAGTATATGGATCTTTTTTGTAGAAGAATTGATATAGATGAGAATATAAATTCCTGAGTTGAAGTTGGGTGGTTAAGATGTAGATGCGAGTATCATATGATCAGAGAATGCCATGAAAATTCAAAGTTAATTTTATAAAACTAGAATATTGACTGTCATATGGATTTGAATTTTTTCACATTTAAAAAGTTGTTGATAGCTATGTTGATTCTGAATGAAATAGGAATATAATATTGATGTATGGCAAACTTAGCAAGGATTAGTTGAGGAATGATTTTATTGGAGGGATACTCGTAGTGACATTGATTGAAGAGAAGTTAGTTGTAAAATAGACTAAATTGGTTTGACATGTACAATGAAGGGCTGGAAATGCAGTTATCAAATATGCAAATAAATTTATTGTTGTATGATTAGAAAGAAAAAAATTGATAGGCATAAGTAGATGTTGTTCAAAATGATTTCTGAAGTGTAGCCTCAACACCTTGGGTAACATTAAATAGGAACAAGTAGAAAATGAGGATTCATAAAGTTGTATCCTAAGTGATTGGGATTAGGCTAAGGATGATGATGATGATGATGATGATGATAAGTTCAAATAGTTGGGATATGATTGATGGTGATTATACTAGTGATTTTGTAGGCCTACATGTAATTGGTTTTTCCTTTGTAGGATGACTAAATAACAATATTCTGTTTTTATAGTGTTATACATCTTGATCATTGATGTGATTATCATTTTATAAGTCATAGGTTTCATTTTTGAGGTTCCATTTTAATTCCATGTGCCATTAGTCCGTAAAGCTTGCACTTTTTCCTGCATACTTTTGTTTTCTCTTCATTTTTTCCTTCATTTTATTCTTCCTTCTTTGGTTGTGCATAATTTATATGAAAAAAAATGATAAAGTAATATGACTGAAGTTGTGCAAAATGATTTACTCAAAGTGGCTCATGCAGAACCCAACAAAACAGAATGGAAAATGAGGGATAGGGTACATAAAGCCAATCCCAAATAGCTGTTATAAGGGTAATTCTTATGTTATTTATTTAACGCATGCATTAAGGTCGTCATGTCAGCTTGGAGTAACAGTCTGTTTTGCCTTTGCTCTGACTGGAGGTTATAGTTTACAAGTTTAAGATTTCGTTTGGGACGGCTTTTTTGTTGCTTCTTAAAGTAATTTTTTAGCACAAAAAATAAAATTTTAGTACTATAAAGCTGCTTTACGAAGGAGTAAGAAAGCTGTTCCAAACAAAGCTTAAATCATGAAAATAATCTTTTTGTAATGTCGTATAAGATTATGTACATCAACGCCTCCCCTAGACCTGGCATTTATTAGAAACTTCATTTACTGAATGATACCCTTTTACCTTATATGTTGGTTCAGGTTGCAGTTGCTCTTTCACATGCTGCCATCTTGGAGGAATCCATGCGGGCACGAAATTTACTCATGGAACAGAATGTTGCTTTAGATTTAGCACGACGGGAGGCAGAGATGGCCATTCGTGCACGCAATGATTTTTTAGCTGTCATGAACCATGAGATGCGGACTCCCATGCATGCAATCATTGCCCTCTCCTCCCTGCTTCTTGAAACTGAACTCACGCCAGAGCAACGTTTGATGGTAGAAACCATCTTAAAGAGTAGTAACTTGCTAGCTACACTAATCAATGATGTTTTAGACCTTTCTAAGCTTGAGGATGGCAGCTTCGAGTTGGAGGCTACAGTTTTCAATCTTCATACTCTCTTCAGAGAGGTAGATTTCTTTATACTTTTTCATATTGTCTTCAGTGGCAGTTATGTTTATACTTAGGCTTCGTTTGGAATGGCTTTCTTACTGCTTCTTAATTTTTGTACGAGAAAGCTGCTTTAAGAAGCAGTAAGAAAGCCGTCCCAAACGAAGTCTTATTTTTCTACTTGTTTTGGTAGCTGACTATTTTATTATGTTATAATATAGGTCGTAAATTTGATAAAGCCAATAGCGGCTGTCAAAAAATTGTCAGTGGTGGTGTCTCTTTCTCCTGACTTGCCATCATGTGCCATCGGAGATGAGAAACGGCTTGTACAAACTATGCTTAATGTTGTCGGCAATGCTGTTAAGTTTACAAAGGAGGGTAGTATATCTATTACTGCGACTATTGCAATGCCAGATTCCTTGAGAGATTCGCGAGACCCAGAGTTCTACCCTGTCTTAAGCGATGGGCATTTCTATTTACGAGTACAGGTTACTTGATGACCCGGAACTGTATTTAGAAATCTGATAAGTTCTTCAATTATGCTTTGCAGATTTAAGCGAGAGCTTAAACTAATTTGACATCATATGGAAATTTCCTGATTTAAAGTTTCTTTTTCAAATTTGTATAGATTAACTATACATATACTTCTTTTGTGGTACAGGTTAAGGACACCGGTTGCGGAATAAGTCCACAGGAGTTACCTCACCTCTTCACTAAATTTGCGCATAGCCAGAATGGTTCTAACAAAGGTTACACGGGCTCTGGGCTTGGGCTTGCCATCTGCAAGAGGTAGGCTGCATAGATGAGACATGCTAGAATGCATAAATTTGGTAGGGTAGACGCTGTAAATCAAGGTTTTCATTTTCAACATCGGTTTTGGTTTCAGTGCCATTTATGGAGTTTGGTTTTTGACAATGTTGAAGTCTTCACTTTTGTTCGTTGGTTTTGCGTTAAATTTCGGTTTTTGTTTTGAACAGATTTTGAATGCAATATAAAATTAAAGATGTTTCAATATGCATTTAAATTTGTGATGGGGTCTCGGGTTATGACGGTAATGGTCTCGAGGAGGGCTATTATCTCGGGGCTGTTCACGATCAATTCTGTTATCATCGCCATAGGGCGAGTGCGGTCTTGAAGGTGTATATATAGCGGGATTCCCAATGCGCTCAATGTTATCTAGACGGTCACTCGTATGGCGCCTAAAGTCTGCTAAATCAGTTTGGGTGTTGCGTATTTGTTGCGTCAACGTGCCGAGTTGCCCCACTATAAGATCTAGAGTAGCTTGCATGTGCTCCGGATCCATGGGTGAAGGTTAGAGGTTGCTAGGGAAAGTGTTGGGGAGGTGGACAGCACCTAGACACTAAGGTATAACGTTCCTAATGCTCCTATAAGTTGCTTGATGGCTGTGGACAGCAACCTACAACAAGGAATTAAGTTGTCTAAAAGTTAGGGGTAGGTTTACTTCACTGGACAGCAACTTTGGTCAGCTTAATGGTCACTTAAATGCCTCTAAAAAGTGCAGGAAACGTTCTGGACAGCAGTGTTTTCAGGTGCGGTAAGGACTCTAAGCGGTTGGGTGAGATGTAAAGGCTAAGACAGCACCTAGATGAAGTAAACTGCTTGTATACTAGGATGAAAACGTGCAGGAAATTACTGGACAGCACACAAAAACAGGAATTAAAGCTATCTAAATGATGCTATGTATGCAAACGATTAATGGCAAACTAAACTAGACTCCTAGGATGCACCTAGCACAAGCAAAGCATGCTAGCCATGCTCTGATACCAAAAATGATGTGATACAACTTGCAAGAACAAGAATTGCCTTGGTGAAATTAATGAAAGTGATGAAATTTATCTTGCTAATAAATAACCCTTTGCTTGATCAAGATTGAGTTAAGAATTTAACGTTGAGAGATTTAGCAATGGCAATAGATCACATGTAGAGATTACGGTAACTTGCAAAATAACAACTAAACATTTAAGTAATACAAATAGCTAATGATCACAAAGCCTCAAATTTAAAATCTAGATGATTCACCTTGAGGTCCGTCACTCGTTTTGAAAGTGGTGGCTAGCGGAGGAGAATCGTAAGTAGGCTTAGCGATGCTACTAGTAGACAAGTGATCTTGAGAGGACTCGTCGCCGGGAAAGAAGCCGGATTTGGAGGAGCAGGTGGGCGGCCGTCAATGATCCACTCGGAGTCGGGGCGTTGTTTGTCGATGACGATTATGAGAGTCGGTAGGATCCGATCCAAGTAGGCTCCAACGGTATCGTCGTCGGAATCAAATACCGCGTCGAAGAACGGCGATCGTTGGATGTCGAGGTTGCCGTGAGCGTCGAACACAAGTCCCTATTCTAGCTCCGGATCCGCCATTCATGATAGGGTTGAGTAGAGGGAGCACAAGAGGGGAGTGGGGAAGTGGGCCGGGAAATTGGGGGAGAGAGGTGGTCACGGGTTGGTGGTCTAGAGGGGTTCGGCCAAGGTGGGGAAGCCAATGATGGAGTGCAGAAATTCTGAGTAATTTCAGATTTTGGGTGGCTTAATGGGGGTGATTTAATTTGGAATTCAATTAAATCACAAAGATGGAAGGGGCGGCCAAGAGAGGGGAATTGGGGGCTGATTTTGTGGAGTTAATAGGGTGATTAGGAGAGAGAGAGGGGCCCAATGAAGGGGCCGGCCAAAGAGAGAGAAGAGGGAAGAGGAGTTTTAAGCAAGTGGGGACCACACAATTGATTTCAGAATTTTACCAAAAATCTGAAATAAAAATTTCAGTTTTAAAATAGAAAGGGGTTTCCTAATTAAACAATCAATTGGATTGAATTTGAATTTTGAATTCAAATTCAATTTCAATTTATTTTAATTGCTTGAATTAAGGAGACAATTTAGGTAACATTAATGGCCAATGAAACTCCAAAGTTTCGGAATTTCGAAATCTGAAATAGGAGGGAAATAGGGGGCGGCGGTAAGGTGGGAGGGGACCGATGGGCTGGAGTGGCCGGCGGCTGCTGGGTGAGGACTGGGCCGGCGGGAGGAAATTTTGGCAGGGGCGGGTTGGGCTGTGAAGCCGGTGGCCTGGCTGGATCCCAAGTGGGGTCGGCGGCACTAGGATGAAGAGAGGGAGAACTGAAGAAATCTGAGATTTTCTTCCGACGTTGATTTCCCTTGCCTCGAATTTCTTCTCAACTATACCTTTCCACAATAAGCTTGGATTAAATCTAGAACTCACGAAGAGATCTAGTTCTCCCTTTGAACTCACTAAGAGATCAAAGGGAAGTGCACTCACAAAGAGAACAAAGGAGGATAATTTTCATTTCAATCCAAAACTAAACTTTTACAATACATCATGCCTCAAATAAGGAGGCCCAAAATAATAAAACTGAAAAGACAGGAACGCCCTTTGGGCTACATAAACGAAACTAAGGCCCTCAGGGGCAAACTAGGAAACTAAAGAAAGTACACATGACATAAGCAATAAATAAATAAGAAGTAGAGACTCTGGATCGTAGCCGCCGATCTGCGCCGTCGGCGATGGTACACGTGTCGAAATCGGATGTCCCCATCAGGTTTGGACTATACAGGGGGTCCATGTGAGGGAGGACTTCCAAACAAAACTTTAATATTGAAACATAACAGCTTTAAATCATCATTAATATCTTATATATGACCCATGCTTTCCAAATATATGTCAAAATAAAATCTGCAAAATAGGATCTTAGCTCGTGGAAAATAATCATGCACTGGCGTTTCACCTTTTTTTTCCTTTCTTTCTAACAGATTTGTGAATCTCATGAAAGGACGCATTTGGCTTGAAAGTGAAGGTATTGGCAAAGGCTGCACCACCATTTTCATTGTGAAGCTGGGCATCAGTGAAGATCCCGCTCTCCGCTTTCAGCAAAAGTTATTGCCCCCAATCCGAGCAGGTCAAGGGGAAGCAGATCCCTTTGGTTTAAAACCAGCTCCGAAGGATGAGAAGAATGCGATCCCATCGAAGATTTGGCATCAGAGAAGCTTCTAGATTGAACCCAAAACAAGCATTTCGAAGCCGTTGGATCTGTGCTTGTACACTCGAAGCTAAGGTCAAATTGAAGTGCAAATAAAAGAAGCAATTCTCTATCATTCCAGACTTCCAGATTCCAGAGCTTGATCTAAAACTGTAAGTGAAGTATTACAAATTTGTTTTGGGTTTACTGAACCGTTAGAATTCATCATGAGGTAGTAATATTGAGAGAGTTATCAAATCTGAAAGAGCGGTGTTCAGTATTCACTTAGCTTACATGAAGTTATGTTGTCACTACACAATTTATATGATAATCTTTTATTTTCTCACAGACTAAGGAGATTGATCCTGCTGATTAATAAACCAAAAAATTTGATTAGAACATATTGTTTTGACTTATGTTGTTTTGACTTAGCATTTAAATAAGGGATCTAGATTTCCCATTTAAATGATTTTCCTTCGTCTTTTTCACTTCTTCCTACGCTTTGTAATTTTATTTCCTGTAAAAAATGGAAGTTCCAAATGATAAAATTAACTTGGTAAAGAATGACATTATTGTATGTTTGACGAGCATTAAAAAAAAAAAATCTTACAAAAAGAAGAAAGTTAAGAAGGTAAAAATTGAAGATTTTGAGGTGAAGAATGCGAATTAAGAACTGGCAGCTTCATCAAAATCGCTGGCTCACCAGCATTCTTTTTCCCTGGTTGAGGTCAATAAATAACCTGTTCCGTCGGAAAAATTATTCTGTGCGGAAGCGGAACCTGTCCGGATACCTAAGCCCGTGGCTCGGTATCCCTTGTTATTGTTGTACCGAGTGTCGGTACTGTTGGGTATCCAGTCTCGGTATCACTGACGTGGCTCGTTCTAGTTAGTATCTCGATGTAGAGCTACGTTTGGCGTATGCACAGGATAATCTCTCGTTCCATCGATATCTAAAAAATAGTAGAGATATAAATTGGAAAAGAAGGTAAAATTGAGAAACTTGATATTGTAGGTGTAAGTAAGTTGAGTTAGCTCGAATTCCACTTGATAGTGAGTTCCTAAGTTAAATTTATTAAGCCATAAGCTCAAACTCAAATTCAAGTTGATGTATTAAATGAGCATGATTTTGCGCTTGATAATGCTTGGCTTGTCGGCTCGTTAGTTGGCTTGTTTATCCAGCCATTAGTCATGATGCCTTCTTCAGTGCTTTCTTCTTCGGTGAGCACCGGCAGTGACTTCTTCAGTGATTTCACTAAAAGAAAAGGTATAAAGAAAAAAAAAAACAAAAAAACAAAGTGGGTGAGGTTTTGTTCATTTATTGCATTTAATAAAGTTATTTTACAGGTGTATTATTTAATATTTATCAATGGTTGAGATTTATTATAGTTTTTAATGTTAAGGGCTGAGATGGAGCTAGTCCAGAGGTGCTAGTCTTGGGCAATATAACTTTTTCTCATTAGTCAAGTTTGCCTTATTCGGGAATCATTTTTACGTGCAGAGTCCGGAAGTAACTCAACGTTTGGGTTTCAATTAAATCTTGACACTTAGATATTCAATTTGATTTTATTTTTTAGTTGTCTTGTCAATCCGACCAACTTCATCCAGCTTGGAGATGAAAATTTTGAATTCACAGAAGTTCAAAAGCTCGGAGTTGTCATTTTGTTTATCATCTCGGCATTTTGCTGTTCACTTTCTCTCTCTTTCGGTATTCCAGGCGTTTCACTGCATTCTTTCGGCATTCCAGTCGGTGCAAAAGTTAGTGTCCACGTGCAAACAAGTGCAAGAACTTGTTGCGCCTTTGATGCGTTTTGCTACATATTCACATGTATTGATACCGTGCTGAGTTCTTCTATTTTAAAAATTAGGCTGCTTTTGTTTGCTTTAAAATTTTTGAGTTATTTTTGTTCATTTTAGTCTTATTTTAATTGAGCCTTAAGCGTGCTTTCGCTGTGCATTTACTTTTATGATATCAATTTGTATAACGAATTCTTTAGTTTTAAAAACTAGGTTGCATGACTTTAAAATATATGACTATATTCTTTTAATGGTGCTTTTCACTGCCCTTTCACTGTGCATTTGCTGTTGCGCTTTATCTGTGATTTCGCTGCTCTTTGACTGTGCTTTCATTGCACTTTTCGTTATATTCACTATGTTTTATAATCTTTATGTAGTTTTTGCCGTGTTTTCATTACGCTTTAACTGAACTTTCACTATGCTTTAGCTACGCTTTCACTACGCTTTTACTGTATTTTAGTTGCAATTTCATTACGCTTTTACTGCGCTTTTCTTTATTTTTTTGTTTGCAGGAGAAAGTTTACAAATTTTTTGATTCCTTACCTAATCCGTAACACAAGCAAATTCTTCAAATAATTGTAAGTTAGAGCATCATGCATAAGATGCTAATTCTTTTTCCAATATGGATAGTGAAATAATATTTGTTCAGATAAAAACATATATATGGACACAAAACAATCCTTTGAGATCAATTTAACAAAATGGAATATTCAAACTATGTAATGTAGTTTTTAAAATTAAAGTTGGTGATAGTCGAAATTACCGATTAACTGCCAAAGCGCAGTTAATTACACATTATATTATCATTTTCTAAAAAAAATTTCTTACAAATCAAATTCATAGTGAAAATAATTATAGTAACATGATCTGAACTAAAAAAAATTTGAATACGATGGAGAGTTACAACTTATGTAATCTAATTTTGAAAATTAAAGTTAACGATAGTTGAAACCACTTATTAGCTACCAAAGCATAGTGAAAGCGCGACAAAAAAACAAATTGAAAACGCAGCTAAAACATAGTAAAATAACAATGAATTACACATTATATTATCGTTATCTAAAAAGATTTTCTTATAAATTTAATTCATAGTGAAAACTCTTATAGTAACATGATATGAACTAATAAAATCTGATTATGATAGAGAGTTCCAAACTATGCAATCTGCTTTTGAAAATTAAAGATTACCATAGTAGAGAGAGAGAGAGAGAGAGAGAGAGAGAGAGAGGCAAGGAGCTTGCGGTTTGCTGTGCTTGCTTTCGGGAAGCAAATTTGTTTGATTTAGATTTCGTATTAGATATCTTTTTTATTCCTTTCCAAACAGCTTTCTAATAAAAAATTCGTTAAAATAGTAAAAAAGCAGCGGTCAAAAGTTATCACAAACGAAGCAAAAGAGAGATGAGGAGCAGGATTTCTAGGTAGATTTGGGAGGTAGAGATCAATAGTGTATCTTGGACCCTTAAAAGAAGGTTACTTTCGGTTTGTTCAAATCTTTGAGGATTATATGCCTAACCCCACCTCCAGCTTTTTCTACGGCTGTAGAAACTGAGAGTTAAGGTTTACAGATTTGAGACAATTAGATCATTCATGCAAAAGGCATCACACTAGAATAGAGAGTGGGCTTTCATTCATAAATTATAGACCACATGTATTCTTTACCATTTAGATTCAACAAAATGTGGCTTGAAGAAGGAGATTGAGATTTCGTTTGGGTCGGCTTTTTTACTACTTCTTAAAGCAGTTTTTTTTTTTTTTTTCTAAAGTTTTAATTTTTATACTCATAAACTTTTTTAAGAATCAATAAGAAAGCCGTCCCAAATGAACCCTGAGTGAATATTTAGATGCCAACTATGGCGAAGGTAAGTCTAGAGTAATAAGCAATAAGGGGGTCAACAATAAGAGGGTACCAATCTTGTTCACAATTTTGGATATACCATTCTCACTCCAATAGCATAATGGGAGATTGCCTAGCTTCATCCATGCAAGAATCTCCTTAAGATCGTCTTTAATAGGCTTAGAATCAGTAGACCAAACACTTCAAAATAAAAGGACGTCCGCTAAAAAAAAAACCCATTCACAAGTGAGTGGAGACTAAAAATACTTTTGGGATTAAATCGCTTATTATTCATTCATTACAAATTCTTACATAAGGGCCGTCAATCGATAACATATCCAACTAAAGTCAAGCTTCAATCTTTAGCTCCTTTAGTGATTTCATCCCCTAAAAGGGCAGAGATTATTCTGTGCGGTGAACGAAAGCGTCCAGATGTCAATTTAGTCGCGCCACATCATCCAATGCACTGTACATTGGGTAACTTGGCGCATCCAGATTGGCCTCCGGATGTGTCCAGACACCGCACATAATAAATTTTCCTAAAGGAATTTCTAAATTGTTTCATTGGTTCGGTCATTATTCAAAAAAAAAAAAAAAGTGCAGGCAAAGGCTAGTGGCAAGGTTGCTTGTAAATTTGATGGTGCTATTAAGCAGCAAGTAGGTCGACTATGGAAGCGAGTTATGGAGCATAGGTTGCGGCCTTTGCCTGAAACCTTGCCACTACTTCTTAAATCTGAAAGAGTGGTGTTCAGTATTCACTTAGCTTACATGAAGTTATGTTGTCACTACACAATTTATATGATAATCTTTTATTTTCTCACAGGCTAAGGAGATTGATCCTGCTGATTAATAAACCAAAAAATTTGATTAGAACATATTGTTTTGACTTTATGTTGTTTTGACTTGGCATTTCTTCCTACGCTTTGTAATTTTATTTCCTGTAAAAAATGGAAGTTCCAAATGATAAAATTAACTTGGTAATGCCAAGTTATTTAAAATACCTTCCATTTAATATTCATATTATTTAAAATACCTTCCATTTAATAAATAAGAAACTTGAGTATGCTTTTTTTAATTGATATTTCTTTTTTATTTTTATTTTTAAGTTGTTACTAAAATATTTATGGTTCTTATTAATATTTTTAATTGAAAGATTTAATGTTTATGATTGATTAGTTGACGTTATAAGAACTAAGAAATTACTCATATTATTTAAAATACCTTCCATTTAATAAATAAGAAACTAAGGATCTTTATTTATGAATTCATACTCCAATAAAATTTAAATCAACAGTTTGCTATGTAATTTTAATGGGCAATTATTAGAAAATAAGTCGATATCAATAAATGATAGATCGAAGTATTTTGGATCTATTATATAGAAGAATGAAGTTATATATAGAGATAACCTTTAAAGTGAAAGCTAGACAGCTAAAATGAAGAAAAGCCTAGGGAGTTTTGAGCGAGAAAAATATATCATAAAATATTAAAAGTAAATTTTATACACAAATCTCTAAGATAAATATCTTTATAGTGCTTATAAGAAAGCCGAATCTCAGTTTATTTCTCTCTTAATGGAACAATTATTAGGTCCTCCGACCGGACGTAGAGCTACGTCCGGTCGGAGCTAAAATCGCGCTAAAAAATGAGAAATACCGAGCAATACTAAACAATAACGAGGAATACCATCATGTGAAGACTCAATACTGAGTTATACCGAGCTATACAAAAAAATACCTAGATTTTTCTAGAAAAAAACTAGGTATTTTTTTGTATAACTCGGTATTGCTCGGTATAGCTCGGTATAACTCGGTATTGATCTTTATATAGCGATATTCCTCGTTATTACCAAATAATACCTAGCAATACTGAGCAAATACCAAATTTTTTGGCGGGATTTTAGCTCCGATCGGACGTTCCTCTACGTCCGGTCAGAGGAACTAATAATTGTTCCTCTTTTAATGGCCATTTTTGTTGAATACACCTTTGTTTTCTTTTACTTCACAATAAACAAGATTATTTTTATTATATGTAAAAATATCTAATATCTAAGCTATTAGAAATAATATTAGTTCATATATAATATCATCATTATGATCACTAGCCTTATTCACCTATTTTGAGACGGCTTTATGAAGCCTCCTCATTGTTGCATGTAAAGTTTGGTTAATAAAATCCCTTATTTTCAACTATACTAAATTCTTTTATGCATACCTAAAACACTTAAGCCAATAATCTACCTTCTCTTTACGGTGATTATAACCTATCTAATTTTTTTTTTCATCAAATTATTACGACTACTAATGTGATGTAACCCTAAGTATCATTTTTTTGAAAGAAAAATTATTATTTGCGGATGTCAAACACCGTTCGAAGACCAATCAAAATGCACCTCATCACCCTCTCGCTTGGTACTGTGGCTCAGCACTGCTTGGTAGCACTGACGTGGCACATTATGATTTGTCTCTGGACGACATTCTGCGTCTGACCTCCGCACATAATAATTTCTCCTTTTGAAGGACATTCTTTTAGATATACTAAGAAAATAGCTCCATGTTGCACTAATCCAATCTCATACACTAATATGGACCTTACTAATGGAGATTGCTTAAAAACTTTTTTATCTATTTATGTTTATGTAGTCATATTATTTAATCTTGAAAAAACTTTACTAATTTCATTTTATATGACATACATATTTTACGAGAAGTGCTATTCTCATCCATAAACATTAAATGCATAGCAACCCATTCATATTGATTGAGCAATAGATTTTTATTTGTTTTTTTTAATCTTAATTATCAAAGCACAAATATGATGGAGGCGAATTTCAATTTTCTTTTGTTTAAAAAGTTTTGTAGGGGTGTCAATTCGGGTCAGCGGGTCGGGTTCGGGTCGAACTCGGAATTGACCCGGCACTGTTCGGGTCAACCCGAACCCGACACATTTTTTAAAACGGGTCAGATTTTCGGACCTGAACCCGACCCAATTCGAGTCCGGGTCAAACCGACCCGACACGAATGACACCAAGTTGACCTAAAATTGCTAATTTTCAGGTCAAAAATCGGGTCAATATTCGATTTTCGGGTAAAAAACGGGTCAATCTCTGGTTTTCGAGTCAAATATGATTTTTCGTGTCACTTTTGGGTCAATTTTGGGTCAATCTCGGATTTTCGGGTCAAATATGATTTTTCGTATCACTTTCGGGTCAATTTCGGGTTGCTGGGTCAACCCGAACCTGACCCGTTTCGGATTCGGGTTGACCCGAACTTGAATTTTTCTGGGTCAGATTCGGGTCGTGTCAAAAATTGACACCTCTAAAGTTTTGTTGAGAAAAAAGTACAAATAAAAGGTTAGAAGACAACATGTTAGGATGATCTTCAATAACATTGCTTATATTATATATCATACTACATTAATGATATGATAATGTAATATATATGCACAATATTTAATGATGGAATAGGATTTAATACACATATACTAATTTCGAAATAATATATGTAATGATTACTAATATTTCGTTTGAGACATTTTTTTTTATTACTTTCTAAAGTAGATTTTTAGTATAATTTTTTTTTGAAACATAGTCATCTTTTTGAGAAATTATTGCGTGTTGAGTCCGAACCAGAAGTTCTCGTATAGACTGTGAGTGTACACATTGTACAATTTTTAGAATTTTATATATAGTGTGTACAAATATTATATATATACACTCATAGTCCGGACGGAAACTTTCAATCTAGACTATGCACAGAATAATTTCTCCATTATTTGGGACAACTTTTTTGCTGTTTTATAAATCAAAATTTTAATAAAAAAGTTTTTAGAATTAGAAAATTTTGAACTAGAAAATTACTTCAAAAAAACATAAAATTGAAGTATTATTTTGAATTTTTGATTGCATCCAAATGCCTATTTTTTAAAAGAATATATATTTATTTTACTATGAAAAAAAAGTAAATGCATAGAAACATATAATTGGATTTGATGAATCATTGACTTGGATCGCAATCTCAAGTTTCAACTGATTTGGTTAATTAGTTTTTCATTCGCTCGGCCTACTATATTTCTTCCTACCGGAGCCGACGCTGCTCTCTCTCTATCTCTCTCTCCCCGGAAGACGACGAGGGCCTGAGTATAATCGCCACAACTTCCTCCTCTCGGGTTGCTGGGGTTTCTTCTTCCGTGATTCAGGTGAACTTACGAAGCATAAGGGTTTTTAGCTTTTTTCGCTGCTAATGTACTGCAGCTCAAATTCGCGAGGACTTCATGTTTTTTCTTGGAGATTAGGTCATCTAGCTTGGATCTGGTTCGTGCTTGTTTAATAGTAGTGTCTTACTGCTACCTTTTTACCTATATTAACTATTTGTGTCACTTATTTGGGGATTGGGGTTTAGGGTTGGCATAAGCAACCTGTGATTCTCGTTCATGAAGCTTCCATTTTGGTAGCTAATGTTTAGTTTGTTACTTTGTGAACTTTTTATTGGAAGAGGATTGGATGTGTTGAAAGGGTTTTGATAGGGATCAACTGTTACCTGCTTAATTTCTTGATTCTGTGGTATTCATTTGATTCATCTGCTAAAAGTTCTGTTTTGAATTGGTTATTCGAAAGCTGGATGTTAGATTCTGATTTCATTTGGATACATTCTGCGATATGTGCTTTGGGGACGGACTTGTTGTACTGTGCTCTAGGGTCACAGACTTGTGTACCATAGTTTCACATGCTTCAGGGAAGGGGTTGGGTCCAATTTTTCCTATGGAAGTTTCTTTGATTGAAATATGCTGCTAGTGGGGTCCTTAATCTTTCCTTTCACATCCCTAAGTCCCAGGAACCACCTCAGAGTCTTTAGTAATGTCCTCAATAGACTACTTGTGCAGTTCTAAGTTTGAAATCCTAATATGGTACCTGTAATATCCCTCAAGCATAGTGAAGCTAAACTCTTAGGCCCTATTTGGTTTCTATTTATGTAATGCAAGCAAGGATACATTGAGCAAACATAATCTGCATGCTTTTAAAACTTAACCTGTAAGGTGAGTTATGTCGTTTGGTTGGCTAAAAAGATAAGCCAATATCAACCGGTGTAGCTATTTGATATTTTTTTATCTTCTTTTAAAGCACAGGCTTAACTCTCTTCAAACTGTAGCCAACAAAGATTGCAAAGGGGGAGAGTGCTCACAATAAATAGGTCAGGGGATTGAGAAGCACCCACACAAATGCTGATTGTAGAGGAAGAGGAAGGCATTAGGGTAGCAACGCAAAAAAAGAGGAATTCACCCATACAAAATGCTATCCATTGATGATCGTAGATGAGGAGGCTACTAACAGTGAATAGATGGAAAAATTGTACCACCTGCCAAAACTCTCACCGACGAACTCGCACAGATGCATGTAGGAGGAGATCGTAGATGAGGAGAAAGGAGAAATTCGAAATGAGCTTAATTGGGGTCTCCATTGTGTGCAACTTAACCTAGATTTTCTTTCTAAACGAGGAAAAGCTTGGCTTAGCTTAGAAAGTACCTCAATGAACTTAGAAAATAGCTTAATTTTTTTTCAGGAAAAAAAATTAACAACGAGCTTAATCTAACTTAAGCTAATGGATAAGCTTTAAATAAAAAACTTCACAAACATTGAGGCACATTTCCTTTCGTACAACACTTGAATTTCTAATAACTTTACATTTTAGCATGCCCATGTCTAAGCATTACTAGGATTGGTGGTCTGTTTGGGAAGTTTTATTAGAAGGTAAAAAACATAGATCTGTTAAGTTGAAATGTACAATATCTTACTGAATGAGAGTTTTGGCTATGACAAACGACGTCAAAACAATATATCATATAGAAGATGGGAACTAAGTGCAATATATGCCAAATTGCTATGCCATGATAGCCATCTCATAAACTCATTTATTGTGAAGTGTTACATGACATCATGTACCTCTTGATGATGCTAGTTTCAAGTGGGTGATTTTGTAAGTCCCCTTAAGTGTACAATGAAATAAAAATCTTAAACATCCAGGGTATTTTTTACATTATAGTTGAAGTTTCATCAGTAACTCTAAAATTAAGCGTTCTCATGTTTGATCATTCATATGATGGGTGATATTCCTAGGAAGTTATACCGAAAGGATAAAATTGCTAGTCCTTTTTTGCCATGGAAATAATATTTTAATGGATGAGACCTTGAATTGTAACAAAAGCTGTTTGTTGAGACAAAAAAGGAGTATCGAGAAATAAAGGCCTTAAATGAAGCACCGGTTATCATATATTTAAGAGAATTTTTAAGGTTTCAAGAATATATCTTCCTTGCAAATATTTTTTTGCTTGCTTACTTTATTTCTGGACCAGCAAAGACTTCTTTTATTGATGCTTTGAATTGAGAAGTTTTGTGCATATTCCTTGCTGCCAAAACTTTTTAGGTAAACTCTTTTGATGCCATATCTATACCATCGAAAGGTGTTAATTTGAACTTCTCAACTCCCTCCAATATCAAAATCTTAGAAAGGGTAGGGATTTGAATGGGCTATAACTCCTTGCATTTTTCATCCATTTTTAGCAATAAATATAAGTTTTCCTAAACATCTTCATCCTAAGCTTGTCCTTAGTAGTTTTGCATTTACCCAAATTCTGAGGTTTTTTCATTGTTGGCATTTCTCTTAATTTTTGACTATTGGCCAAGTTTTATTTTTTGTGTTTCTTTTTGGCGTTTAATTTTTTAGCCTTTGATAACCTGTATTAGTAACTAATGGTATTTGGTTATTTTTTGTCTATAGATTGTTCTATATTCTGATGTGAAACCAAATGCAAGGAGCTTCGTAAGAAATTAAAATTGAGTTGGCAAAGAAATTACAACTAATAACTTATGGCGATAGCAAGAAAATCATTAAAATTTCGTAGTTATCAACTAGCTTAGGCGAAGAAGTATGTAGATTAGCCAAAACTTTCAGACAACCAAAAATAATAGCAACACTAAAAGCTATTACAACAATCCGCCATTTAATAACGAGAAGTTCACCTTGGGGAAATAATCACTCAACTAGACTAGGCTTTGCGGGAGAAGAATTTCAGCACACCAAACGATGCCACAAGGAAGGTCGCGATGCCAAGGGTCTTGAGCCACGGAGAGGTTGACGATGACGAGGAGGGCGTGAATGCTTGACTTTCGAGACTCCAAGTGTACTTAGCGAGTTTTGGCTATGACAAACGACGTCAAAACAATATATCATATAGAAGATGGGAACTAAGTGCAATATATGCCAAATTGCTATGCCATGATAGCCATCTCATAAACTCATTTATTGTGAAGTGTTACATGACATCATGTACCTCTTTGCTGCTAGTTTCTTAAGTGGGTGATTTTGTAAGTCCCCTTAAGTGTACAATGAAATAAAAATCTTAAACATCCAGGCTATTTTTTACATTATAGTTGAAGTTTCATCAGTAACTCTAAAATTAAGCGTTCTCATGTTTGATCATTCATATGATGGGTGATATTCCTAGGAAGTTATACCGAAAGGATAAAATTGCAAGTCCTTTTTTGCCATGGAAATAATATTTTAATGGATGAGACCTTGGATTGTAACAAAAGCTGTTTGTTGAGACAAAAAAGGAGTATCTGGAAATAAAGGCCTTAAATGAAGCACCGTTTATCATATATTTAAGAGAATTTTTAAGGTTTCAAGAATATATCTTCCTTGTGAATATTTTTTTGCTTGCTTACTTTATTTCTGGACCAGCAAAGACTTCTTTTATTGATGCTTTGGATTGAGAAGTTTTGTGCATATCCTTGCTGCCAAAACTTTTTAGGTAAACTCTTTTGATGCCATATCTATACCATCGAAAGGTGTCAATTTGAACTTCTCAACTCCCTCCAATATCAAAATCTTAGAAAGGTGTCAATTTGAACTTCTCAACTCCTTGCATTTTTCATCCATTTTTAGCAATAAATATAAGTTTTCCTAAACATCTTCATCCTAAGCTTGTCCTTAGTAGTTTTGCATTTACCCAAATTCTGAGGTTTTTTCATTGTTGGCATTTCTCTTAATTTTTGACTATTGGCCAAGTTTTATTTTTTGTGTTTCTTTTTGGCGTTTAATTTTTTAGCCTTTGATAACCTGTATTAGTAACTAATGGTATTTGGTTATTTTTTGTCTATAGATTGTTCTATATTCTATTTTTAAAAAATATAATATGTATTTATTCAGATAGAGCTAAATTATCTTATGCTTTATTTTATGAGATCAACTCTTCAAAATATTAGTATTGTTACTAGTAAATATTTTTCCAAATATTGTAAGATGATTCCAAAGGACAATCTAAAAACATAATATAGTGTCTTAGTTTTGGACGAAGAATGTAGTCCAAAGAAATAATTGCCTTAAGATTATAGATTATGGAACTTGAAAGGTTAGAAATTTTTAGTGAGAGGGTCATATTGAAAACCTATAGTTGAATCAAATTTTGTGTGGGATAAAATGGCTAATTTCATTAAGGAGATTATCACCTAAGTGTTAAAGGAGTATATAAATTAATATTATATATAAAGAGATATGGTGATAGAGCGAGTCTTATAAGTTATTGAAGAAAACAATGTGCTTTTAAAGAGTCAGAAAATACTTAATATTTGGATTTACAATGATTATGTGAATTCTAGAAATATTTGCAATGAGGCAATCACTCATGACAAAGCTACACTTTTTGATAATTTTATGGCACACTAGGTATGATAAAGTTCCCGAGAAGTGCTATGGAGAGTTCTTCAGAATAAAGGGTTTAATAATGCTTATATGCAAGTCATCAAAGATATGTATGCAGGAACTATTACTTATGTTCAAACACAAGGTGGTTTGACCAAGTATTTTCTTATTTCAATTGGATTACATCAAGGATCAGCCTTAAGCCCATATCTTTTTGCTTTAGTCTTGGATGTTCTCACTAGACATTTGCAAGTGAGGTTGTACCCTGGTGTATGCTTTTTGATGATGATATTCTTCTTGTTGATAAGACTAGAGAGGGAGTTGCAGGTAAACTTGAATTATGGAGGTTAACCTTAGAGTCTAGAGGTTTTCATTTGAGTATATCCAAAATTGAATATATTAAGTGTAATTTTAGTAATAATAGATCTAGTTGGGGATTGCGACTTTGGGTGATCAAGTCATTAATAAGAATACACATTTTCGATATCTTGGGTCTATTGTTCAGAGTGATGGTGAAATAGATGGGGATATTAATAGTAGAAGTCAAGTTGAATGGTTGAAGTGGAGGAATGCATTGGGCTTATTGTGTGATGGAAAAGTCCCCCTCAAACTTAATGGAAAACTCTATAAGATGGTGGTTAGACCTGCAATGCTTTATGGTGCAGAATGTTGGCCATTAAAAGAGAAGCATAATATTAAGTTAAGTGTTGCAGAGATGGGATGCTCAGGTGGATGAGTGGCTTTACTCTTAGAGTCATGATATGAAATGAGCATATACGTGAAAAGGTTGGAGTAGCTCCAGGGGAAGATAAGATTAGAGAAAGTTGTCTTAGATTGTTTGGTCACATAAAACGGCGACCTTCCGATGACCAGGTTAGGAAAGTAGATGTATTAGATTTGACTTATGTTAAGAAAGGTAGAGATAGACCTAAAAAGACTTGGTTAGCAAATATTAGAGATGACCTTATTTATGAGATTTAAATGATAATTTAACTCTTAGCAGGACACAATTGAGAAAAAAAATTCATGTAGCTGACCCCACATAGTGGGATAAAGGCTTGATATTGTTGTTGTTGTCGTCCTCGTCTCAATATTGTTAGAAGTTCAAGTTTATCCAAGTTGTGATAGTCTTAAGTATCTTAGATATATTTCATGTATATGAATATATATCATATAGAACTGATGCCATATGATTAGAATCAAGAGCTTTGACTGTTCTATGTTACAGGGTACTACTGTGGAGATTTAAACATAAATTTGATAAAACTGCTCAAAGACCAACCATGCTAAATTAATTATAATGTGGGGTGATTAAAAAGTCGCTGATAGCTAAGTTTAGTATAATAAATTTTTTAAACGGGACGTGTGACAAAGCCAGGGAAGTTAGATATATAAATGCTATATGCGAGATAATTTAGGATTAGCAAATATTGAAGATAAGATAATTAAAAATATATTTAAGTGGTTTGAGCATGTACAATTGAGAGTAGAAGATGCACATATAAGATGCGTTGTGTAGATTCAATTAGTGGAGGCGGATTTGAGGTTAAAGGGGCAGACAATAGTTACAAATATATAGAAGCTTTACAACATTATTTGTGCAAAGTATATTAAATAAATGAATCGATACTTAAAATGGATGAATAGTGGAGGAAGATCTAGAGAGCCATCACCCGGACAATTTCTATAAGGCTAATTGTGCTGATAGTCATTACTTTTTTGCCTATCACATTTTCATCCCATTCATTGCAGAAATTAACATAGTTTAGGTAATTTAATTAGCAACATTTTGAGGGTTATTGCATTGTAATTTAGTTGTTTATCCAACTTTCATGTAATTTGCCATGCTTGAGCCTATATCTTCGGTTCTAATGCGTAGTTTGTTGATTATTATTTAAAGATTATGTTCCTCGTGAGGATGATGAAATGCACTATTTCTTTGCTTCTCCTTTCAGTGATTTATTTCTTCTTTTGCTTTTATTTGTATAAAGGGATGTAGGAAGAAGATAGCAGGTACAGCAGTTCCTTAAAAATGGAAGGCTGTGACTGCATTGAGCCACAATGGCCCGCTGATGAGCTTTTAGTGAAGTATCAATATATCTCTGATTTCTTTATTGCCCTTGCCTACTTCTCCATTCCACTTGAGCTCATTTATTTCGTGAAGAAGTCTTCATTTTTCCCATATAGATGGGTGCTTATACAGTTTGGTGCCTTCATTGTCCTTTGTGGAGCAACCCACTTGATAAACTTGTGGACATTCACAATGCACTCAAGGACACTGGCTATAGTAATGACTGTAGCAAAAGTTTCGACTGCGGTTGTGTCATGTGCAACAGCCTTGATGCTTGTTCACATAATTCCTGATCTGTTAAGTGTGAAAACAAGGGAGCATTTTCTGAGGAACAAAACAGAAGAACTTGATAGAGAGAGGGGTCTTATACGCACACAAGAAGAAACAGGGAGGCATGTGAGGATGCTCACTCATGAAATTCGAAGGACACTTGACAGACACAGTATATTGAATACCACTCTTGTCGAACTTGGGAGGACTCTAGATTTGGCAGAATGTGCTTTATGGATGCCTTCACGGACTGGGCTCAACCTTCAGCTTTCTCATACACTAAGCAACCCAAATCCTGTTGGATCTGTTGTTTCTACGAACCTTCCTATAGTAAATCAAGTTTTTAATAGCAGTCGTGCAGTTAGAATTCCACATACATGTCCGCTTGCAAGGTTTCAACATCAGACAGGAAGATATGTACCCCCAGAGGTTGTTGCAGTCCGAGTGCCACTATTACATCTATCAAATTTCCAAATAAATGATTGGCCTGAGCTGTCTGCTAAAAGTTTTGCTGTGATGGTCTTGATGCTACCATCAGATAGTGCAAGGAAATGGCATGTTTATGAACTAGAGCTTGTTGAGGTAGTTGCAGATCAGGTATTGTATTATGTAATCGGATTGCTTTTTTTTTTTTTTCAGTATTTTAAACATCTTCAAGCTTTAATATGAATCCAGTAATTCTACGACCCCCAACCCCCCCTCCCCAAACGGAAGCTGTAGTGCCTTCTTCCATGACAATTTTTTTCTATCAACCTTGTTGATGTAACTCAAAGACTGCATTATACACCTCTACTTCACCAAGTTTTTCACTCTAGTTTTAATGTATTATCTTTCTACTTCAATTTCCCATATAATATAATCATTTCTCACTATATCACCGCTCATTTTGCTATCAATCCATCTAAACATTTTAATGAACTAAAGCATTTTGAGGTGGTTGTAGATCATGTTGTATTTTGTAATTGGCCCATAAATTTTCTTAATAGTTTAAAGGAGGCTTGTTTTGATGCATTAAGAGTTAAAAAGTAAAAAAGAAATGTATGGGTTTTAAAATTTTTGGTGTTTGGTTAGAATGAAAGCAAATACAAATTTGTTTTCTTGAGGAATTTTGAATACACCAAATAGGCTATTTTTGGTGTATTATGAGTTTGTCTAAATCGGGCAAATTCAAAATACACAAACTTTCCAACCTCACAAACCCCACTTACCCTTGAAATATCCTTGTTCTTGGCTAAGTTGTCCCGTGCTCCTTCAACCTCGCCTTTGTCATCCAAAAGGTCGTCGATCTTGGCTTCACTCCCTCCCTCAGATCCATTGCCCTCAGCTTTGTCTACCTAGCTTTCGTTGTCCTCGACTCCATCGACCTACCAATGTCGTCCACGACATTATGGACCTCACCTCTACTGTCCTTAGCTTGGCCTCACCTTTGTTACCCTTAGCCCTGTCACCCTCATCTATGCCAACCTCAAATATATTGCTCTTGCCTTTGCTAACCTTAGCTGCATCATCTACCTTGATTATGGTGTTCTCTTCTCTATTTCGTTCTCCGCCGTCCAAAGGAGTAAGGGGAGAGGGATTTCTATGTTTTTGAATTACATTGAAACAAATAAAAATATATTTACATTCAACCAAAATTCTTAAATTTAAAATACTACAACAACAATAACAACAACAACAACATCAAACCTTTATGCCACTACGTAAAGTCGGCTACATAAATCCGTTTTCTCTATGGCGTCATATTAAAAGTTACATTCTCATTTAAATCTAATACAAAAAGGTCAGTTCTAATACTTTCTAACCAAGTGTTTTTAGGTTTACCTCTATCTTTCTTAACATAGGCCAACTAATACATCTACTCTCCTAATTGGGTCATCGAAAGACCAACATTTTATGTAGCCAAGTCTTAAAATACATTTCATTTTTTTTATTTTTTATTTTTTTATTTCATATTTTAAATGTAATTGACCAGACAACCCGCTAAACTTTTTTAAACTCATCATGAAACTAATTCTGTGTGGTCTATATATTTTTTTTTTGTTTGAGGGACTAAATTTAATGCAAAAAGTTGATTTCTTCCAATGTAATAATAGTCCTTATGCCATAAATTAGCATCTTTGTTCTCGCCATTTTTGCTTCTCATGTTGATTTGGTATTTCAAAAGAACTTTGGAATCCTTTTCCAGGGGGTTGTTTGGTTTAGAGTATTTTGAATATTTTGCTTTTGAAATATGTGGATTTTAAGTTTTTGAGTGTTTGATCCGTAGTAAAGTAAATGCAAAGTAATTTTTTGAGGGATTTAAAACTCTCCTCATAGGTCTTTTCTGAATTTGTCTGAGTAGGAATTAGGACAAATTCTAAATACTCAGTCACCAAGTTCAGATCTATTCTGCGCTATACTCAGTCACCAAGTTCTTAAGATCTCTTCTGTGCTGATCGACTCTTTTGTACGCTCTTTCCTATGTTCCTTCGCTCTCGGGGAGCAATTAAATTCTTTTCTTTACTATTTTCGTTCTAGTGGAATGTGATTGTTGATTAGTGATGGTGATGGATGTTGATGAGAGCTTTGAGAGCTAATCTTCGATGACAAAATCCTTTCCGAAGTTGCGGAAACATAGTCAACTCTAGGTCTATCATGAGGTCCTCCACCGGCCTAGACTTAGGCTGCTCCGAGGTATTCCTTCCTTCAAGAAATAACTCAGGGCTAGGTTCCACTCATCATGAAGTTGGTACAATGATGAACTACATATGATGGGCTGAGAATATCCACGTAGGATGAGTTGGCGGTCTTCTGCTTTGAAAATTAACATTAGCATTCTAGTCTCACTTAGCGTGCATACTGTCACTATCCCACGCCCCTTCCTTCGTTGCTGGTAAGTTTCCAACCATGATTTGCGCAGCCCCTTCTGACCTATAATTGATTCACTTTACAACAATCCAAACACCAAAATGTATTTCAAATACATTGAGTTTGACATTGCTATTAGAATAGACCTTAATTCTAAATACTTGCAATAAACTGTCCCGTAAGTCAAGATGTCTTCTTTGTTTTTAGTTATGAGGTTGGCAGTTGCCATTTTAGCCACCAAGATTGCATATGGGTGTGGGATTTTTCTTGGTATGCTATAAGCACAAGGAAATAACAAATTGTAAAAAGGTATGACCCTCCATCGAGGGTTGTAATTGTGCTGTGTGGAGCCAAGATTTGCTCTGCGCATTCTCATTCATTTATTTACCTACTGAACTCAAGCTTAAGCATGATCATTTTGACTTTGGTTTGAAGCCAAGCCTTATTTTGAGTTTGGTTTGAAGCCAAGCCTTATTAGTTATATGTCGTATGATTTAAACATATCATATTATTAAAATAGTTGCATTCAAAATTAATATAGTTCACTCAATATTATTTCTAAAATTTTTAAAGCTCAAATGTTGTTAACTAATAAAATTAGATTTCTCTCTCTATTCATATAACTATTTGATCAATATTTTCATCATACTTATATTTCTTAAAAAATACATAAATTTTTAAAGTGCATATAATATAAGAAATTTTTTGATATACAAGTACGTATATCGTTGCACAGGTTCAAATGCATTTGCTTGCATGCTTTACTTCAATACTAAAAATATTGTAATAATTTATGTAGTAACGAGTAAGACATTCAAAAGGTTTGTTAGTATTAAAATGGCAACCAAGATGATTTGATTGTCTAATAGAAGGGTATGTTGCATTAAATCATAGATTCACAGGGTAAACTTCCAAAATATTCTTGGTCTAAACAGTTTATTGTTCTGTATTGACATAAAAAAGTTGAACTCATTCTTAAAAAAGAGTAACAACTTATATTTCGATTGGCTGTATGAATCCTCATTCTTCATTGATTTATGTTGATTGTCAGTTTTTATCAACTCTTATTACCTGATGTTACTCATATCTAACATTTTTTTCCAATTCTTTGATACTACTTCTATCTATTTTTCATGTTTGTGCAATTTGAGTCCCTCGTTTACACTCCCAACACACCAAATATATCAAGTTGTTTGATAGGTGTTAGTTTTATTAGTCCTTTCATGAAATCATTTCTCATTCTAGCTTTTTTGGGTTTTACCATATTTCCATCTAAAATTCGCAGATTTGTGGCACACAATTTTTAGTTTAGACTTATTTGTTGCCCAAAACCAAGTCGAATTTGGAATAACTGGACTGCATTGCAGTTTTATTAGATTTATGTTCGAGTCTCCATGATGTTGTATTTTTGCATGATGCTTTACCATCCAATATTAATTCTAGAAGTTATGTTCACTGTCTCCCCTGTTTGTGACAATCATTTAAAGATATTTACTGACAATCATAGCTACCTATTATTTCCCATAAAATCTAACAGCGTAGTGTTTAACAATCATCAAAACGGCTTTAGTTTTAATCACCACAATGCACAGGTTAACTCCACAAAGTCAAAATACTTTAAATAATATGTTATATAGATAAGTTCAGAAGGATAACATTAGCATTGAAGAACATGCTGACATGTCCAAAATAAATATTCTGTCTTCATCACGAGCAAAGTTAAATGAAAATTGGAAGTAACGATAAACAAGTAGGATAAATTTCAATTAAAGAGAGTTTGAGTATAAATCTGAAATCTGGGAGGAATCTCACCAGCTAGGATTGGCTTGTCATGCGTCCAACTTGTGCTGCAAATGATTCTACGATGCATCCTAGGTAAGCCCTAGAGTTTCATTCTGTTTTTTTACAATGAGATATTTTATCTGAATTGGTAAAAAATCAAAATTTTTTCTTTTGTTTTTGAAGGTTTAGATATTTTGTGGTGTTCTCAAGCTGTATCCTTTTGCAGTTTAATCTTCATTTTTTTTGGTAAACTACAATATACTAACAAACTGCAGAACCACTATCACTGCCACATGCTTACTATGGCCGAAGTGGGAGGATTAATTGTGTGATTACGAAGTCCCGTCTTCTTTTGGTCATTACCTTTGATTCCAATGCCAATTTTATTTTATATCCGCATTTCTTACGTTTATATGTATGGTGCTGATAGCTATGTATATATGTTGCTGACATGTATTTTCATCATCTTTCCATTCTTAACTTATTGGCTCATTTGCTATAGTTCGAAAGCAAGAGCTGCGTATATTTTGTTAAAATCTTTCTTGTAAGAATTAGTTTTGTCATAGATTTTTCCGCAGAATATTTTGTTATTAAAGTATCATTATTTAGACAAGCATGTCAAACTTGGGCTTACTGACAACCACCTTTCGTAAAAATTATTCACATTTTGCTAAGATATATTAATGAAAGATGTATGTAGAAGCTTTAATTAGATTATGGATCTTTTGGCCTGATTGTATCACCTGTCTATCAGTAATTCTATCTATGCTAAATCTAATCTATTCATAATCTATATACTATAATATATTAATATATTTAACAAAGTTCCTTGCTCTATACACGAGATGGATATCGTAGCAAAGGTAAATAACAACTCAATGAGTCTCATTCCTAGTCGCTAAGCCCATACCTCGTTTCTCATAAAAAATTTTATACACCCTTGCCCACTAGCTCATGCACATCTTTGC